GGCAGAGGCTCCGCTCGGCTCCTGACTTTGGGGGGTTAGAGTTTAGGGTTTAGGGTTTAGGGTTTAGGGTTTAGGGTTTAGGGTTTGTGGCGGGGGGCAACCTTTTTTGCCCGTTTTGGGCCACCATTTTTCGCGAGGGGGTTGGGAGGTTTCAGTGGAGGTTTGTAGTTGAGGGGCTTGGCTGATTTTTTCAGGGCTTGGGCTGCAGGGTGGCCCCTAAAGCCATATGCTGCCCTGTCTACTCACTTTGTTTGGTTGGTTGGGCGCTTGATAGGCACACAGTTGTGTGTTACGTGGTTTTCCAGCCTTCGGTGCTGTGCTTTCGTGCTGAATGCAGGTTTTGCATGTGGTGTCTCTCTGGAAGATGGAGGCTCAAGTCGTCGACTTACTGACAGCTTCCGATGACATGTCAACCTTTGCAGCTTCTGACAGGATCTTGTGGCATGAGCTGTCAGAGGTTCCTTCTGCGCAAGAATTTGGGTTGTGCTCCTGCGCAGTTTCAACTGTTCCAAACACAAAAAACTCTAAAGTCTGAGCGCCAAGATGCTCAACCCTAGAGCCCTGAAGCCGGAACCTCGAAAAAAACCGCAAAAAACCTGGAATTAAAAGGAGGGTCCAGGAGGGTCCAACACCCTAAACCCTAAACCCTAAATCTATTGAAAGACATCCAGGGCTCTGCCAAGGCAGATGAGCACCTCGCGGAGCCTGGCCACGGCTGGGGCTGTATCGGGGGTTCCAGGGGCTGTCAGAGGCTTTCAGAAAGTTTCAGAAATTTTCAAAGGGTTTCAGATAGGTTGCAGTTTTGATGATTTTGGGTTGCAACAAAGACGCCTGGGCAGGATGCCTGGGGCAGGCCTTGCTAGGGACCTTTCCGGCCACTCCACCTTCACACCGGATCCGCATATTCAGCTTCATCTTCGCGTCGGCTCTCCCCGTGCTATTATTTTCACCTCTGCCTGCATGGTTCCTCCGATTTTACCATGATATTCGCGCACCCCGTTCCCGTTCCCTTTGCCTTTGCTTTCCCTTTACCTTCGCCCCAGCGTGGAGTTTAGGTTGTGAGAACATTGGGCAGGCCTCCAACCTAAAAGCAGCACTGCGAGTGGAAGCAGAATTGTCTTTGAATGTTGATGCTTCTGTTGCTTTGCTTCGTCTTTGGTTCTGCTTCCTTGTCATTTGAGGCGACCTACAGGCTCCAACAGCTCCAAATAACAGCATTTCGACATTTTCGGCAGCTTCCCATGGTGCAGCCGTGCAACCTACATCACGTCCAAGTGGGCGACAGCCCCCCAAATGCTCTAACTTGCGCAGTCTCCGAATGTAAATCACAGCAATTCCCTTGCTGGCAACCCTCAAAACCCTAAACCCCTGCGAACAAAAAGGGCCGAACAGGCGGTGTTCGATGTCCCTAAACCCTAAACCCTAAACCCTAAACCCTAAACCCTAAACCCTAAACCCTAAACCCTAAACCCTAAACCCTAAACCCTAAACCCTAAACCCTAAACCCTAAACCCTAAACCCTAAACATCGAAGCTGGGTATTTTCCGCCCACCGAAATATTTGGGGCCAAGTGGACCCCTTAAAACAAGTCAGAGGAGCTGCCCAATTGCATCCCTAAACCCTAAACCCTAAACCCTAAACCCTAAACCCTAAACCCTAAACCCTAAACCCTAAACCCTAAACCCTAAACCCAGCTGAGACGCAACTGCACCGTGGATGTGTGAGAGAGCTGGTCTTTCGCAGCGCGGAGCTCGGCTCCCAGAATTTCCTGATGGGGGTTTAGGGTTTAGGGTTTAGGGTTTAGGGTTTAGGGTTTAGGGTTTAGGGTTTAGGGTTTAGGGTTTAGGGGCTTCTAGGCCCAAGGGCGGAACTTTATGGGGTCCAATGAGGACTTTTTGCGGCAGCCCAAGCCTGCCTGTTTGGCATCATATCCGACAGACCTTTACAACCCTGAACTGGAGTTTTGCATGCAACTCTGTGGTTTAGGGTTTAGGGCTAGGGCACCACCCTAACCCTAAACCCTAAACCCCAAACCGAGCAAGTAAGGGCCGAGAGGCCACCAAGTGTTGTGCCAGCTGCTTCCCATCCACATCCGCAGTGGCCGCATCCGTGCCTTGGCACCCGAAACAAGGATCTCAAATGAATGCAGGTGGCCTAAGTCTTACTTCTCCAATAGCCAAGGGGAAAAAAGGTTAAACTTTATTATTCCTACTAAATAAGGAAACCCAAAAAGTTTAAAGTTCAGCTGTTGGAGAAGTAAGAAGTTCAGCCCTCGGCTTCAAGCAAAGACCGAAAGAAACTGCAAGGATCGGGCGCAGATTCAAGGCTCAAATTCCTACGGCGGTGGGCTCAAACTCAAAGGGACGGAGGTCTTATGCGATGAGTGCCCCAAACTAGACAAAGCCAGGCTGCGTTCGGAACAATCCACGGGGCTCACAGCCGGTGAGGACATTCCTGCGGAGATGCTTGACGACCCAAGTGAGAAAGACTTAAGGTCCACGGCTGAGGGGTGAAATCGGCCCGCTGCATCTGGCTGTGCTTGCACTGTCCTGATTTCGCATCGATCGCATGGTGAAGGGTCTCATGCACCTCAGTGGGAAGAAGTAGCTCTGCGCTGGTTTGCGGGTGTTGCTGTAGGGCCGAGGGTGGGGAGGCACCGTGGGCACCCCTTTCGAAACCCTAAACCCTAAACCCTAAACCCTAAACCCTAAACCCTAAACCCTAAACCCTAAACCCTAAACCCTAAACCCTAAACCCTAAACCCTAAACCCTACCCAAATCCTAAACCCTAAACCCTAAACCCTAAACCCTAAACCTGTGAAGCCCCAGGCACCAGGATGAACTCCAGGAAAGACAAGGGGAGCTCGCGCGCGGACTGGATGCCACCTCTGCTCACTTTTGTACTCGTGGCGGCATCGGGCTGCGTTCAAACGCTACTCTTGGGGGGTGCGTCATTTTTTTTTGCCACCGCAAAGCAGCGCTGCCTGAAAGATGGAAGATGGATCAAGAGCCAAAAAAAAAGAAGCCAGGACGCAGAGCTGCACCAGTGCCCGCTCAGCCCTTACCAGGCACTTCACGAAGCTCGGCTCCATAGACGGGAATTCCTGCTTCGGGTTTGAGAGGTTTGGGGCTTGCCGGGTGTGGGTCCTCACCTTACTTCTCCAATAGCCAAGGGGAAAAAAGGTTAAACATTATTATTCCTACTAAATAAGGAAACCCAAAAAGTTTAAAGTTCAGCTGTTGGAGAAGTAAGTCACTGTAGGGCTGAAAAAATCAGAATATGGTTCTCGGGGCACATGGTCAACTTCAAAAGGGACATGATTATTTGGCGACAGGTGCTTTGGATATGGGGAGGGCACCACGGCGCGGAGCGGGAAGGGGGGCCTTCTTGCAAAGGCGTTAGGTTTAGGAGCTTAGGCTTTAACTACGATGGCCCTTAAACCCCTCTGAAAAATATTCCTGAATATGACCCTCTTAAACCCAATAAGGGAAAATATGAAATGTCCCAAGGGCCCTACCTAGTTAAGAAGGCGGAAGGCTGTGAGGCCCTAAACTTTGCTAGCCGTCGGAGTTGCAATGATTACAAGGTCCCTTCCGGCCACTGGCAGCAGATACTGATTGACATGACCCGCATTTTTTCTCGCTCAGAAGCAGGGGTTTCTTTTGGGCCTTAAAACCTTCTTTGAAACCTTAGGAGCTTACAAGCGCCCAATCCTGCAACCCCACCAGGCCCACAAACTTTCGCGTTTAGGGCCTCGAGCTCTTGCAGGAGCGTCTGCACGACGATGGAGTCAGCCTCGGCTCTTCTTGAGCCCCACCCTGAAAGCCTGTCACGACCTGCTCAAAAGGGCTGTTAGGGTTTAGGGTTTAGGGTTTAGGGCTGTTCTGTCTCGGATTTAGGTTAGTTTCGGGCCAATGAGACCTAGGCAGATGGGCAGTGGACTTCGCCTCGTGTCGTAAGTAGCCCAGTCATCGCCCTCAACCCCAGCCTCCCAAGCCAACCCTAAACCCTAAACCCTAAACCCTAAACCCTAAACCCTAAACCCGAAACCCCATCCACGCCGGAATCCCTGAAAGCCTGACGCCTCGCCTTTGCCTAAGCTCAAAAACCTGCCCCGCATCGCTTGGGAGTTTAGGGTTTAGGGTTTAGGGTTTAGGGTTTAGGCCCCTTCTGCCATCACGCACTCTCATTATTCCGCCCCCCAACTAAGGATTTGCTACTACAGTAGCCAAATTATCTTTGGTCCGTAGGTGTTTATGCTGACTTGGCCCAAAACCTACATCCCTGAAGCCGACAAGCTTATTTCAGCGCTTCTTGGGATGTTAACCCTTATCGTAACAGTCCTTAATAGGAAGTATAATAGGGCTTATAGGGGTACGATAATCCCTATCAAGGACTGTTAGTACCCAGATCTTCCAAAAGCCCTTACTTAAGGAATATGCCCTAATTTATACTAAGGATCCTTATTAGGAATTAAGGTATGTACCTGAATTAAGGGGTTTTGGAAGATCGGGGTATAAGGGGGAACATGCCAATATACTTCCCGAAAGAATGCCAGGCTGCTGTGTCTGCTGGGCAGTCCTGCGCAGTCTTCGAAAGAAGGGGAATGGCCCTGGGTCTTCTGCAAGGATTTCAATCCTTTAATAGGGATTATCGTACCCCCTAGTATAATCCCTATTGAGGACGGATAGTATAAGGGGGAACATCCCAGGTAAGGAGCTTAAACCCAACTCTACAGGGCTCATTCAAGCTGTGGGGCCTTAACCCTAGGATTTATCGAGCTCTAAGCTTACATCCTTCAACCGCCACCCTTGGCTGGGGCACCTTCAGCAGAAGCACTGTTCCAACAAAGGTCTCTACTTGGCCAAGCATCAATTCCACGGCGTATTTCTCATGAGTCGACAATGGTGTGCTACATAGCAGGCCCTACCAAAGCTCTGCCATCAAAAACTCAGCCGGCTGAAGCATCGAAGCCGCGCAATAAAGGCACTAAAGACGATCACGCTCTTGTGAGCCGGACGAAAACTACACTCAAGACAACAATACCTGATGCAAAGACGGCCGTGAAATATATCCAAATTGGGACTGTGGAGCTGTCGAAGCCTTCAACGGCCGGGAGTGTTCTCTTCCATACCAACATCCCCGCGGCGGAGCAGGACACTGCGAAGCCCAGCACTGATACAGTACGTGGGTAGCGGCTGAGGTTGTTGTGGAAGTTGGAGACGGAAAGAGACTGCTGCGACGGCAAGGAGCCTGAAGAAGTCGTGTGCGTCAGGCGCGCTTCAGTTTCTTGTTGGGTGTCGTCGCGGGCTGTCAGTTGAACAGCTGAACGTTGCTGGGAAGGTTGCTGCCGTCTGTCCCAGCATTCGCACACTGAATAGGTCAAGTACCACACCCATGCGAGAGCGGCAAGAGCCGCCACTCCAGCCCCACATAAGAGGACGTACCCGGTAGCGGCGATGACCACTACGAAGATTGCAGACGCAGCCGTCCCAATCAATTGCCAGCATCTTCGGTTGCCTTTCTTGAGCGCGACCGCCGCGAAGCAGCTCAAGCCGATGATCTCTGATAGTTCGGCTGCCATGACTATAGAAGAAAAGGGGCCTATAAACGCTTCCCAGCAGCTGCTGCAGATGAGACTCATGTAGGCCACCTGCTCAACCCAAGCCGATCTGGAAGGCCCACAGGAGTAGCTCAGGATGACCATGGCCCAGACGTCCACGAGAGAGCTCAGGACTTTGGAGTGCTCAGAACTCAGCAGGTTCCGGAACTTACTTCTCCAATAGCCAAGGGGAAAAAAGGTTAAACTTTATTATTCCTACTAAATAAGGAAACCCCAAAAGTTTAAAGTTCAGCTGTTGGAGAAGTAAGGGAAGGAACCGGGCAGCGTGTGCGAATGAATGGGGCGCTCGTCGTAAAGCCATGAGGAAGAGTGGTCCAGGAGCCCCCCCAGACAGCAAGAGCAATATGCCAAACCTTTCGGAAAGTTTGCATTGCTGTAGCTCACCTCTGACAAGGAAGAAGTAGCCGCCTGAATGCATGACGTTGGCCAGGGTCCACAACCACAGGGAGTTTCCGTCATCCCTGTCTTCGACACACATGGTGCTCCATGTGTCCCAAATCAGTAGCGCCTGACAGACAAGGCAGCAAAAGAGCCCCGCCACCTCCAGTCGAACTAGGGTATCTGAACACCTACGCCAGTTCCGGCACACAGCGCAAACAATCCCCGAAGCAGCTGCGAGGGTCACCACTACAGCCGCGGCAATGCCCCGCAATAGCATGATCTCGGAGCAAACCTCGAACATGGCTCGTCTTGTGACAGTCTCAAGCCCTAGAGCCTTGCGATTGCACCTGAATGTGACAGTGGTGATGCAAGAATAAGCTACTGGTCTCCTCCCTAGCACTTGAAATCTCTATCTGTGCTGGACGTGCTGTGTAGCAGGGAGCCAAACGCTGCTGATTGCCCATGCCAATATGCCGCATGCCCGCAGCGACGTACCGAGGGCACGACACGAAGGGATTTGGGTGGTTTCTGAAACCCTTTTGGGGACTTCCTACAATAAGGGTTTGTGCTATGTTGGGGGTATATTCAGGGTTCCCCTATTGGGGGAAATACCCATTTAGGGTAGAGGACGCTTTGGGGGGAGCGCTGAAACCATCCTGAGGCCACACGTGAAGCCTTCACCTGAAATCGAGCCCTCCAGTGCTGCAAATCGCGAAGAATCTCTTCCTAGGATGCCCTTAAAACCCTCTGAAAAATATTCCTGAATATGATCCTCTTAAACCCAATAAGGGAAGATATCAAATATCCCAAGGGCCTAGCTAGCTTCATAAAGAGTGGGGGCGAGTGGCTGAATGAAACAAGAGAGCTGCACCTTGAACCCTCATGGAACAAGACCTGAAGCCTCAGCCCTTATAGGCCCTAAACATCACCCCTAGCCTCAACGACCCAAAAAAGCCTAAACCCCAAATCCGAAACCCAAAAGCCACGAAGACTTTTAAGGGCCCCTCGCCCCTCACGACATGCAAACCTGCAGGAACCTCATAGTCTGAGACCTCAAAGCATGCCCTCCACCTTCTAAGCCCTCAGCCCCCCTTTTCAGAGCCTCTGCCCTACGTGCAAAAGCCAACCACCCAAAGAGCTACCAAAACCTAAACCCTAAACCCTAATGAAGCTAAGATCCTCCCCCAATCCCCGGCCTGAACCATCTTCTGGACTTTTGCCACCTCCTGTTCGGGATTCAGGGTTTAGGGGTTTAGGGGTTTAGGGGATTCCGGCGCCGTTGAGTGTTTCCCCTATCTTCGCCAGGAGCCCATCGTCACGCCATGCCAGATACCGACATCAGAGTGTTTAGCAATCAAAGTGTCAGTGTGTGTGTGTGTGAGAGAGAGAGAGAGAGGTTTTGTTTGAGGGGGCGTGGGGTGGGTTGGGGCCTGGGGCAGGTGAACCTGAGCCCTATGGCCCTAGCACCCCCCCCCCCTCACCCCCCAACAACAAAAGAAAAACAAACTGGCGTTCCAAGGCCTGAGCTAAACGGCTCGACGCAGCTAAAAAAGGTGCCTTAAAAATTACAAGGGTTTGGGGGGCTATTCTAGTATAATTACAAAGGGGCATAAGGGATTTTTTCCAATGAGCATGACTGAGCTCCCGACGAACAAGAATTAGTCACAGGCGATACTATGCAATTCAACGTCAGTGAGACCAAACAAGAAAAGTTGAGACCTGCAGCTCCGTGTATCCGCACAGAAGAGTAACCCTAAACCCTAAACCCTAAACCCTAAACCCTAAACCCTAAACCCTAAACCCTAAACCCTAAACCCTAAACCGAGCAACTACCAAGAGAGGCCGAAGACGGGAGTGATTCATGTGAAGGGCGGCGATCTGGATAAAGCTCGAGCTTTGACTTGTCGCAAATGTTGTGTATTGCATAAGGGATTACTATTACCCTAAACCCCAAACCCCAAACCCTCAACCCTAAACCCTAAACCCTAAAACCCTAAACCCGACCCCTACATGGGAGTTTACGAACATAGGGGGACCCCTATATTGGACCCCCCCCAAATACCAAATAGTAGGATTCCCTTGTAATAAGGACCCCAATAAGGTACCCCTAAGTTCGAAAACCTCTATATTAAACCCTGACCCCGAAACCTTAAGCCTAAACCCTAAGCCCTAAGCCCTAAGCCCTAAACCCTAAACCCCAAACCCCAAACCCTAAACCCTAAACCCTAAACCCTAAACCCCAAACCCTAAACCCTAAACCCTAAACTTAAACGATGTCCGGGGCGCCATGGCCAGCCACTTGAGCTCCGGGCCCGATCGCGAGTGCTCGGGCGAGTAGACAGCGCCGGCGTCGGGTGGGCTGATGCCAGGCAACTTCTTACCTTGGGGACCAAGTGAACCCTCAGGGTTTAGGGTTTAGGGTTTAGGGTTTAGGGTTTAGGGTTTAGGGTTTAGGGTTTAGGGTTTAGGGTTTAGGGTTTAGGGTTTAGGGTTTAGGGGACCAAGTGAACCCTAAAAGGGTCTATGGTTCATATACCTTGATGGGGCATAGGGCATAGGGGTGAGGGTCTAGGGTCTAGGGGTTCATATACCTTGATTGGGGTTACGGTAGTGTAGGGTATATGACCCCAATGTTGAGATTCATGGGGGTCCACAAGGTACCTTGACTCGCAGAGATTCCCCGTCTGGTTCAAGAGAAACCCTAAACCCTAAACCCTAAACCCTAAACCCTAAACCCTAAACCCTAAACCGGTTTCTGGCTGTTCAAGAGACACAGCCTACCATACACCGGAGCCGAAGCCCAGGTAGCAAGAAAAGATCTGCAGGCGTTTAGGGTTTAGGGTTTAGGGTTTAGGGTTTAGGGTTTAGGGTTTAGGGTTTAGGGTTTAGGGTTCCAGGTAGAGGCACTTTCAGGGTTCATGGAGGCTCCTAGAGTCGAAGCCAGCCTGGGATCATGTGTTCTTCCGGGCTGGAGGGATCTGGAGCTCCCGGGCGGTTTAGGGTTTAGGGTTTAGGGTTTCGGGTTTAGGGCTGAGGATCGAAGATCGCACTTCGGCAGCAGCCCCTCAAAAAATCGTGTCCCAGTGGCTGGTCGCCAGGGTGAAGCTGGCAAACAGCAAGGGCGCGACGCAGCAGCGGAGGAACCTGGCTAGTAGCTGGATGCTCTTGGTCTGTTTTTTGATGGGCTTTCGGGATGCAGAGGTGAGGATGCGCTTCCCATGTCCCAAAGAAGGAAAAAGCGGATCCATCAGTGGCCAGGGAACGAATCTGTCGTCTTCTGCAGCCTTGGGTGAACAACGGCCCTCTTGTCCTCACCTTCTGAACTTCTGGAAACTTAAACGGCCTAAACCCGAAACCCCTAGCACTAGTGGGAGCGAAGCCCTTCACAGCAGTCGGCGGCGCATACGAAATCCCTACACCGCTCATTTCCGAACCCCTCTACACGGCCCTACACGACCCTACACCCCTTCCGCGGTTCCAGGGTGATCTGGCTTCGGAGAGCCGATCTCCAAACACAAAATACAATGGAAAACAAGCTCGGAAACAAAGGAGTAGCTCCTTTAGCATATAGGCCTTGCACTCCTGGCTGAAAACCCCGTGATGGACCCTCTCTATGGGACCCTAAACCCTAAACCCTAAACCCGAAACCCTAAACCCTAAACCCTTAACCTTGTTTTGTCAGGTGAGCTGCTCAGGCGAAGCGGTTGGGCCGGTGGGAGAGGAGTCGCCTGCCATGGATGAGACGGTCCTTGGCTCTTTGCTCTTCTTTGGGGGTTTAGGGTTTAGGGTTTAGGGTTTAGGGTTTAGGGTTTAGGGTTTAGGGTTTAGGGTTTAGGGTTTAGGGTTTAGGGTTTAGGGTTTAGGACTGGACTTCTTCCGAGAAAGATGGGAAGATACATGGCTTGAGGAGAGACTTGTTGATCCAAAGCATTGGGGGAGAGTCCGGGATAATGTGCCTGCTTGCTCGGCTCCTAAATTCGAGCAATTGGGCTTGCAGGTTTTAGCACCTACTTTGGGGCTTTGAGGGGCCATGCACTTGCTTTTTCTTGTTCAATCCTTGGCTCATTTATCCGGTGCCCAAGTTCATTCCCATACACATGCCTCATCTCTGCCTTTCTCTGGCCCTACATTGCCAACACAAGGCCAGCACCTTGAAGCCAAAAGTTGCAAGACTGCTACAAACCCCAAAGGCCACACTCCTGGAGTCCAGAACCCACGACTCCGGCTTTCCTTCCGACATGCGAGGGTCAGATGCTGTAGGAAGGAGAGCCGATCCGCAGACGACGCAAGGGAGGCAAAGCCTGCTGCTTGGCTTCTAACAAAGCAAAAACAACTTGCAAGGAAGCGCTTGAGGAATGAAAGGATATAGGGTTATCGGGTAATGGAGTTGAAGATGTTCGAAGGGCGACCGGCTCAGGGCCTCCGACGCGTTCGGGGCCAAGCTTCTGCAGAAACGATAAAGCCTCCCCCAAGGACTCCTGGCCTCCCCCCTCCCCCCCCCCTTCTCCCGAAAATCTCAAAGCCCTCCGCAGTCTGCGACCGAGTTAGCAAAAGCCCTGACCCCGTACAAAGCTCCTAAGTCCTAAGGCCCCTGACGTCCCAATTGCCCTTCAACGTCCAAGGCCTGAAACCCAAGCCGGCCTGCCAGGGCCTTGTGCCAGACTACCCAATTGCAATGGTTGAGCTGCTTTGCCGCTCCTAGG